TCAGGGTGGACATAGGCTGTATATTATTCCGTTAAACATTCATATAAATTAAAATATATAATCTAGGTTAAGGCTTTTATGTCCAACAGATGGCGCTATGAGTACGACACCCTAAGTTTGCTTTTCTGTGAAAATGAACTAAAGCAGATCATCATCTATCTATCTATATAAATAAAAATGTAATGTTCGTTTGTTCCTACCGATTCCTTTGAAATTTTGACACAATGCTGCATTCGAATACGCACGTGTTTTTATATAATATACGTGTCGAAATTCGCCCCACTGAAGGGTTAGAATTAAGGCTTACCGTAAAGAACTCAGCTTCTATTTATACTATTTTAGATGCGGTCTTTTGCATTTTTGATTGCGTTTTAATAGGGTACGTCAACAGAATGTACACTAAGAAGGGATCTTTTGATATTCCCCCGCAAGGGAGAGGGACAGGATTAAGGCTTACTGTGAAGAACTTGGCTTCTATTATACTATTTTAGATGTGGGTTTTTGCGTTTTTGATTGCGTTTTAATAGGGTACGTCAAGAGAATGTACACTGAGAAGAAATTTTTCGAAAAAATTCCCCCCACAGGATAAGTGTTATACATTTATAATAGATACATTTTGAGCCACAACAACACGTGGCAGGGTCTGCTAGTTTAAACAAAACTTAGATATGAGAATAGATTGCACATAAAAAAATATTAGTAGTAGAAACAAATACTAGCAGATGTATTAAAGGAAATGGGAATACACTGTTGAAGGCAAAACCAACAACAAATGTAAACGTTTACTTATTGATGTTATAAATTGTTTAATGCTAATAAATAGTGGTCATCTCATTCTTTAAGTAGATAATATTTTAGGCATAGTGAATGTAGTCATTGCTTTTATAAAAAGATCTGTTATGAGCTAATGCTTTTTTTTTTTTTTTTTTTTCATTTTTGAAACTATTTTGTTAAAATGTAAATGTCATTTTTATAAAATGTTGGTTTAGTAATTAAATTATTGTAATTAAGTTAAATTTATCAGCAATTATTAAAATAAGTTAGTTTGATAAACTAGTTTAAAACTGACAGTTTTTAATTAATTTATTTATCAAAAAGATCACAAATTTAATGTAAATTTTTAAAAAATCTCCCCAGTTTAATGTTCTTTTAAATTTCAAATTAAAAATTACTTACTCTTTTGTCTTCATTACAAGTATATGAGCTGTCTGAATAAATACTGAAATGTAATATAGTAATATTTAAGATATATATATATATTTTTAAATTTAAATAATCCAAAATAAATTAATTTAAATGAGAAAATTAATCATCTACATGATTTCAAAATTTTTCATGTAAATGTTTCAGTCTATTATGTTAATAATTACTAATCATTAGAAGTAAATTTAAATAGACAGAACTGATATTTTAACTCAATTTATCTTAAATCATTCTACAGGGTGAGTCAACATCTTCACACATTTCAAGAACATAGCAGTCATTGGATTGAGCATCATCCCATAAAATGGCATTCTATTTCTCTTTTGATTTTTATTTGTAGAACATTTAAAAGCCTAACACCAAATTAAGCTATAAAACATGATCACTAAAAGGAATGTAGTTGTGATGCATTGTTGTTGTTAAGTTCCATCGAGTCGTTGTCGACTCCTGGTGACTTCATGGACAAGTCTTCTCCATCTTGATCTTTCCCTTGTTGTCTCNTATATATTATATTACATCATATAAACTCTGATTATTATAAACAAGGTGATTATAAAGTCAATGGATATTTTTACCAAGCAATGTACTCAATGTGCAATTTTAAATGTAAATAACTTTGGATGTATACATAATAAATGCATACAGTAAAAATAAATTTAAAGGTTTGATTTTCCTGAAGCTTTTTCATGTTTCTTTTTTTTAGTTTTGAATAAACAGATTAAATCAAATTTAATTTAAATTTCTTTTCAGACACTATAACAGAATGAAAATGTCAATAACAGAAGAAAAACTTAATGGTGTATTATGTATTAATACTTAAATGTTATTGCATGAAAACTGTTGTGTAATCAACAAAATTATATAATTTGAATGATCTTAATGGTCACAAAAAATCACTGAACAGCAACAGAAGAATTTTTACAACAAACAGGAAAATCAGATTTAAAAAATGCATTATAATATTGCATTTTATATATAATATAATGCATGTAATTTGGCAAATTACATGCATTATATTATAGTGTCCTTTTTTATAAGTTTATACACAATGTCATTAAAGTTTAAAATTGTCCACTGACTTTATAAACATACTGTATAATAATGTTTCTATTTAAAAATTATGATAATGTGCATGATGCTTATAAAATAACTGGTGCAACTTTAATAACTTCTCAGGTACTGTACATACTACAGGAATACATTGTAAACAGCATATTAAAACTTAATTCCTAAAGATTTTATTTATTAGTATTGTCAATATTTTGTTAATTCATTTTAATTTATTTTCAAATGCATTAACTATGCATTATGATTTGCTTAATATGATGTCCATAACAGTTGTGACATGCAGTTAAACTTTAGGTTTTTATATTTTTTACAATGTATTGCTATTATATTTATAGCCAAAGTTATTAAAGAGTAAAGTTGTACAAAACTAAATCATCCTATATATTAGAGGTCAGCAACCTTTTTGTTAATAAGGGTGCAATAAAAATTTTAAAAACCATCGAGGGCACAGTTTAATTTTTGAAAAAAAATCACAATGTTTTAATAAATAAACAAAATAATTATATTTTGAAATACAGTAGAGCGTCGATTATCCGAAAGTCAATCATCCGAAAGAATTCCAGTCGGCAAATTTAAATTTTCGCCAATGCTGTGGCGCTGCAATCTTTGGCTATGTCTTGGGCTACTCAAATATTTTACGTTTTTGATACTAAATTAACTTCTGAAGTATAATTTTTTATTGTTTTTATATTTTTCAATATATNGGTTAAAGGCATTGTGGTCTGTGGTATATCTGTCTTGAACTGGAATATCTTTATTGGCCTCCTTGCAGTTGGTGCAACAAGGGGTGTGGTCAAGCCTCTTACATTCCCCAAACCTGTGTCCCTTGGCACAGTGGCTGCACCTCTGCTTGTTTGGGCAGTTGGCCGAAATATGATTATACCCGCAACACTGGAAGCATCGCACCAGTGGGATATAATCATTAACAAAAATATTGGCCCATTGGATAGCTATATGTTTAGTACGTATCAGGGAGTCACGTAGCCTAGGTGTTGTAGACAAGACGATGTGCCTGCAGTTTTCTTTAGTACTGTTTCTGTGCAGGATTGTGCTTACCCTTGTATTGTCAAGAAACTCCTCTTTGGTGGTAGTGTGTAGAAAGTCATTTTGTTCGTACATTATGGGGAGAATTTCAGCCTTGTCAACAGTGATGGGTACGTTGTTAAGAATTACTCTGGGTCTCCTTCCCTCAGATATCTTGCTTTTGATTTTACTTTGAATTAAATAGCATAAGTATGGTTTAATTTCGATAATTTATCTAAATATATATAAAACATAGCATTTTTTTTCTGAAAAAATTCCTCTGGGTCTCCTTCCCTCAGATATCTTGCTTTTGATTTTACTTTGAATTAAATAGCATAAGTATGGTTTAATTTCGATAGTTTATCTAAATATATATAAAATTACTTGTCCTGACTGACTGATTGATTCATCATCACCTAGAGCAAACTGCTGAACCAAAAGAGGTGAAATTTGGTACACAGTTAGGGTATATCATGAAAACGCACACTAAAAAGGGATTTTTCGAAATTCCTCCCACGGAGGAGGGAGAGAAGATTAATACCCTGTTCACACTGAGCATTTCGATCTAGATTGTGACTAAGGAGAGTGTTCTGTGGTGCAAATGCTCTCAACCGTTTCAATCTCGACTGAAACAAGGTTCAATCGCGATCGACTGGAGAGAGTTCTTGAAACTAGATCCAGTCATAAGAGAGATCCCACAATCCCACGCGGGCGAGAAAATACAAGAATGCTGCGGAACACGTGTTGGGCTATCGACAGAGAAATAAAAAAGACATCTGGAGAGACAACAACATATGTCTGTTATTAGATGTATGGCAAGAAAAAGTATTTATTTCTAACCAAAACTTCCATTTTGTTTGTTGGTGTTTGTGATTTACTGCGTAGTTACGTCAGTTTTATGATCGTGTGTAATAGCCAGGTTCTTCTCGAACAGACTGCCTGTGCGAACAGCACAATGTTCGACTAGCGACAGTCACAATCCAGATTGTAGGTAAATCAAGATCGAAGTGAGTCGTGGATTGTGTGCGAACGTAGTATAAGGCTTAACCTGAAGAACAGCTTCTACTGTACTATTATAGATGCAATTTTTTGTTTTCAACTAATGTTTAGTCTTCATTGAATACTTAGGTGTATTAAATTAATAACATTTCAGACATTGTTATAAATTTTTTTTATATATTTCGATTTTTTAACCAAATGTTTAAATCGTTTTAAATTCGAATTTGTTATTGCATATTGGTTCAATTATAGAATGATTGTAAATGTTCCAGAAAATTGATCAAATTGAAAATAGTTTGTTTGATTTGCAGCAATTCTTATTATTCTCAGCGGTAAGTGTTATATAACAATTACTATGGTTGTTGAAATACTGAATATAAATCGGGTTTGCTTGCAAAATCCACGCAGGCGAAGTCGTGGGTAACAGCTAGTTATGGATAAACCTAATTTATATTGGATTTCATCAATATAGTTGAGAAATGAAAAATAATATCCTTATCTTAACTACTCATGGAATATCAATTCAATCAAATATCAAATCAAATTCAATTCAAACTCAGATTATTCATGATTGTAAGCTGAAGCCTTACCATACACCATGACTATCTGCTGTGAATGCTTTTGTTCAAATTTATTAGAGTAAATTAATCAGTCTAGTTAACTCAATGATACAATTTAACAAATAAGCTTCTTGTCTAGCTTGGTATAGACTTGTGAACGCTATGTTGGCCTCTTTATTTCTAGACTTATTATACCATCTCTGGACACAAAATCAGCCTAGAAAATCAATTTATTTTCCCCCCAAAAAAATATGCATTTTGGACCTAAAGTACCTCATCTGCTTCTTTACAAAAATTTATGATAATGGATTTAGATGTGAATGTGTCAATTTCATAAATATTTGTAAAAAAGCCGATGAGGGACTTTAGGTCCAAAATGCATATTTTTTTTGGAAAAATAAATTGATTTTCTAGGCTGATCTTGTGTCCAGAGATGGTGTAATAAGTCTAGAAATAAAGATGCCAACATAGTGCTCACAAATATATACAATTTAAAAATGTCTTAACTAATATCCTTAATATAATTTAAGAACATACAGTATGTCTTTTTACTTTTGCTACAGAAAATATAAAATACATAAATAATAAAAGAATATTTTTACATATGTATGATTCAAAACAAATTAAATGCAATGCAATACAGTACAATGTAAAATTAAATTACCTTTTAAATGTGTTGTAAAGTTCTGATAAACTTCTGACTGAATAAGAAAACAGTTTTTCATATTCCTAATTTTTAGATAAAAGTTTATAAAAAAAAATATAATTTTAAAAATTTCAGAACAGAAATTATGTCATAAAAAACAGAAAAATCTATTACCTTTCTTAATGACCAAATAATATGTTTAGTATCAAAAATAACTGGAAATAACTTATGAATATTTTTCTTAAATTCAGAGTATTTTTCTAAAATTAATAAGAGAAGTATACAAAATTAACTTTATAAATATTTTTATAAAAGAGATTTCTTCATGAAAATTAAAGTATATAACTTATTGTCTAGAAACTTATTTTAATTGTCTGAGATATTTGTCTAAAATTTTCTATTTTTAAAATATTTCTCAGACAATTAAAATAAGTTTCTAGACAATAATTCAATTTGTAAGGTATATGAAAACAAGAATAAAAAAAATAACAACAGGTTATTTGTACTGAGAAAATAACAATTACAATCAAATACCACATATATGAATAACACTTTACAAAAACTTAAAATTTTAATCTTTATATTCTTATAAATTTACAATGAAGAAAATGAAGTACAGGAATATACCCCAAAAATAGATATACAGGCTTTACTAATTCTGAAGAATATGCTATGCATTTCAGACTGTATTCCTCATTGCTCCTCTTTATTTTACATCAGTCTGGTTTTTTAGCCTTATACCTATCTTGTGTGTTTCAGTGTGACTCATTCTCTCAAGCAATCTTATGCTTACTCCAAACAAGTCTACATTTCATTTTAGCCATAGTTTCTATCTTTGTTATTTTATTTAACCATATATTGTATTTCATTTTAGATAACCATTCTTTTGTATTTATTGTGAATTTCTTTCATATTTATTCTAAATTTAAATCAAAAACTTTATTGTAACTGTTTGAATTCTATCAGAAACCAGAAACTACACATATAGATTTGAAACATGTTCTTAGAATCTGTCAGCATAAAAAAATTTTAAAAATTGTTATTTGAATTTTGTATATGCTATGTTTGTCTGATGATGGAATTTTCAAATGTTGAAAGTACTTGCATGTATTTAATTTTTTCAAGTAAACAAGTTAAATACCGAAAGTTTATTTACTTCATATTCTATATTTGATGTCATATGTGAATATATTCCTTTCAGTCAAATTCCATTATTAAATTATCAGTTTATGCAAATCTGCATTAACGCAAAGTAAACTTGTGGTCTTGTGGACAAGGATAGGTATTTTAATGATAATGAATTCAGTTAATACAAAATATCAGTAATGCATAATGCAAATTTTGATAGCATAAACTGTAGTCAAGAAACTTCTTTTGCTATATAATACATAGTTGTAATTAATGCTTCTTTCCTCTGATTGGCTACAAGTTTGGCTTACATTTTATAGGTTAAAGAAAGTTTGGCATCAGAAACTATTAATAAAATATTTCAGTAAGAAATGTTAAAAATGTCTTATTTATATCTAATACATGTAGATAGATACTGTACTGTACTTGCCATTGCATTAATAAAATACAGTACTTCGAATCAAACCTATTACTGTTTATTGAGTAAGAACCTCTATATCTTGAATTTTTTCTCATGAGATTCGAGATAAACAGGTTCAACTGTATTTTATCTTTGCAAATTAATATATTCCTTGAATTTAAATCTTACATACAAGTGCACGTTCTAAAACATAACTATTTACTTTCCAGCTATTTAGTTGAACCTGATTCTGACTGACTTTTTTTTTACTCTCTCAGCCCTGTGGGCACTAAGAGACCCTTTTTAGAAAGCCCTTTATGGATTTGGCCAAGCCCACAATGGAGTGGCTAGGTGATAATTGAAATTTTTGAACTTATTTATTCAATTTCTTCCTATCACTGTTTAATAAGATGGCATACCATTATAAACATTTAGAATAAAAATGTTATGAATTGTTTAAGATGCATATGCACAATTTATATTAAATGTGAAGTTTTTAAACAAAACCAGTAGATAAAAACATTATAAAATATATAATTAACAAATTTTATAATAAAAATTAATTATATATAAACATATTATTATCTTATTGACTATTAACACTTAATTGAATTTGTGTATAATTATACACAAATTCAATGATATATAAGACAAAGTACATCAATAATCAATAAATTTCTGTTTATGTCTACTCAAATTCATGTGCAATTTTTAAGTTTAAAAGCAATGTAAAGCATTAATTACTTATATTTATTGAGTGTTTAGTAATATCTCAGAAATTTTCTTTGTAATGGTATAATACTGTATAATAAATTTAAAAAATTTGAAAATATTTAACATACTTGGAAGTGGTTTATAGAAGTGATGGTACAAAAATAGTAAATCTAACATCAAATTGTGTCCCACCATTGGCTGAAATTAAATAAATTCACTTTTAAACATAGTAGTTATTATATTAAATAATATTTTATACTAACAAAAAATATTTTCAAAATAACCAAAAAGTAATTTAATGATATTACAGAAACAATAAAAAGTATAAAACTGTTAATATAAACACTAAAATAGTGTGATTGAGATTACAGGATAATCTCAGATTTATTCTATCAAAATCTTCAAAAAGGCATTTGACAATCTTGTCCACCATTGAAGAGTGTGTGTAGAGTAAAATGGCTTTTACAGTGAAAAATAAATCTTTATAATAATGCCTTTTATTAGTAAAAAGTTCAAAAGTTTTCTGTTTCTCCATTCATGTGACTTATTGACATAACTAAATGTATGTTTTAAATAAAGTTTTAACATGTACAATACATTAACTATTTTTAGCATTGTTTATCATATAATACCTTCATATAATATTGTATATATAACCTATTTTGTACTTTACCTAAAGATGGTCTTTAAAAATTATTGAAAAATTCATAATTAAATTATTTTTGAAGTGTCTGAATATCCATATAATCCCTTCTTAAAAAATGTAATAAATCATAATAAGGTTTCTTATTGACCAAAATATATACAGTATCTGGAGTTTTAATAGAAATTTAGAAACGTAAATATTACAAATAATAATAGTTAATTGCTAATATCTTCTGTATGGTGTTTTTATGTATTGTGAGAAACCAAACTAATGTAAATTAAAAATTAGTAAAAACCTAATTTAATTTTATATTTTTGTTTTGTTAAAAACCCATAAAGGAGAAAAGTTCCTTGTCATCAACACAATCAAAGAACTTTATAAACTTTTCCCATGGATGGTACTTCCTTCATGGATGACACAACTTCTTAATAACTACTCACTGAAAGAACTAACAACAAAATTGCAGATTGGAGCAATTGCTAATTTCGCCAAAAATGGGCATTAAAATGATAAGGGGAGGACCCTGAATAAAATGAAAAGGGATGAACGATGAAAACAGTTTGCTTGTCAAATTGTGAGCACTTATCCCCACCGTGCTCCACTGCCAATCTTCTGGACCTCTTGCCATTTTTATCGGACCTTAGCCTCACCAAACTATCAATCAGAAATTAGCCACAACAAACAATCAATCAAAATCCACTGTGTATATTGGGATTAAATGTCTATTCAATTGAAGACCCACCATAACCAGTGGAAGACTTGCCTTCCTTCCCTCCAGGAAGTCCAAAACTGACTCTCACTAATACAGGTATTTACTGACATGCATCTAACTGTAAATGCTCTCTCTCTGTTCAATGCACTTATAGAGTAGGTTTTTCCACTTATGTTACACTTGTATAGTAGCAATGATCTTTATAAAAAAATTGTTGTTTTTTTTATGTTTAAATGTGTTAAGTAGTACATTATTTCTGGATCTTCCTGCCTCTCTAACTTTCCTTCCTCCATCTGCCCACATTCATCCCAATATATAGCTGCTTGTGTACATTTCACAAATGCGCAGAAAGCACAATCAAAGGTTTGTGTTTTCCAGAAAACACAGCAGTGTCAGAAGCATAATAGGGGGATGCTTCATAGATTCCACATAATACTTTTAGTTCAACATCCCTTCAGTGCTCCAGCTGCATAACAGAACCTAATGTTGGGTTGACATGCTTAACATGTACTCACTTTGATCTAGACAAAAACTTTGCTATTTAATTATGCATTATTTTTCATGTATTAAATTACAGTTTTTCAAAGCCTTTTCTTAAATACTGTACTAATTCAGACAATTTTCCAAACAATTTTTAGGCCAATGAGTTGATAGACAATTTGGTAGCTTGCACCATGACATTCTTTACACAATGCTTTTATTTATTTTTTTATTAATTTTAATAAAGAATTTTATTTGTATTTATGCAAATACATATAAAATAAAATAGCCAAGTGAAATTTGACATCTTGATTATCCCGTAAATAATTTACATAAAAAGATAAAATATTTTACCTTTTTGGCATCCACTAGCATACGAAATACCTTAGTAAATCCTAGAAAATGATGCAGTATTCTAAAAATAAGTATTAGTAAATATAATTATAATTAACACTTATTAAAACAAATTTATGAATTAAAAATTTATTTCAATTATTTCATACAGGCAGATTGCTTCCTAGATCAATATATTTCATAAAATGCTTTTGTATGATATTAGCAACTATCTTCAGAATGTAATACCACATAAAATTATAAAAGCTTATTAAAGCACTTTCTCAATTGGATTTATACATAGAAAAATCTAAGAGAGTTTGAACTGATAAGATCAAAAAATGATATAATAGGTCCTTTAATGACCTGCTGACTAAATGCAAAAACAGATAAACTAGCATAGCTATGTAAAAATAATTAGCTATGAGTTTACCAACAATCCTCTAAGAGACGAGAAGAAAAAAAAGAAGAAGAATTAATTTTTCATTCTTTTAATGCAAACACACTACAAGCAGAAAGTGCATAACCAGTAAAACCTGTGTAAACTGAATATTTTTTCCAATTTGGCAGGTTTCCATTTGAATGGATGTTTTTTTAGCATTGTTTTGAAGAATTTTTTCCATTTAGACCAGTGATTCTCAAACTTTTTCGATCCACCGCCCCCTTTGTTCCATAAAGTTATACCCAACGCCCCCTAAACCATTTTTTCTTGTGTGAGAAAAGGATTGGAGATATTCTTAGGAAAACTTTTCTATGAATCTCACACTTTGTACAAAATAGTAAATCTAACATCAAATTGTGTCCCACCATTGGCTGAAATTAAATAAATTCACTTTTAAACATAGTAGTTATTATATTAAATAATATTTTATACTAACAAAAAATATTTTCAAAATAACCAAAAAGTAATTTAATGATATTACAGAAACAATAAAAAGTATAAAACTGTTAATATAAACACTAAAATAGTGTGATTGAGATTACAGGATAATCTCAGATTTATTCTATCAAAATCTTCAAAAAGGCATTTGACAATCTTGTCCACCATTGAAGAGTGTGTGTAGAGTAAAATGGCTTTTACAGTGAAAAATAAATCTTTATAATAATGCCTTTTATTAGTAAAAAGTTCAAAAGTTTTCTGTTTCTCCATTCATGTGACTTATTGACATAACTAAATGTATGTTTTAAATAAAGTTTTAACATGTACAATACATTAACTATTTTTAGCATTGTTTATCATATAATACCTTCATATAATATTGTATATATAACCTATTTTGTACTTTACCTAAAGATGGTCTTTAAAAATTATTGAAAAATTCATAATTAAATTATTTTTGAAGTGTCTGAATATCCATATAATCCCTTCTTAAAAAATGTAATAAATCATAATAAGGTTTCTTATTGACCAAAATATATACAGTATCTGGAGTTTTAATAGAAATTTAGAAACGTAAATATTACAAATAATAATAGTTAATTGCTAATATCTTCTGTATGGTGTTTTTATGTATTGTGAGAAACCAAACTAATGTAAATTAAAAATTAGTAAAAACCTAATTTAATTTTATATTTTTGTTTTGTTAAAAACCCATAAAGGAGAAAAGTTCCTTGTCATCAACACAATCAAAGAACTTTATAAACTTTTCCCATGGATGGTACTTCCTTCATGGATGACACAACTTCTTAATAACTACTCACTGAAAGAACTAACAACAAAATTGCAGATTGGAGCAATTGCTAATTTCGCCAAAAATGGGCATTAAAATGATAAGGGGAGGACCCTGAATAAAATGAAAAGGGATGAACGATGAAGACAGTTTGCTTGTCAAATTGTGAGCACTTATCCCCACCGTGCTCCACTGCCAATCTTCTGGACCTCTTGCCATTTTTATCGGACCTTAGCCTCACCAAACTATCAATCAGAAATTAGCCACAACAAACAATCAATCAAAATCCACTGTGTATATTGGGATTAAATGTCTATTCAATTGAAGACCCACCATAACCAGTGGAAGACTTGCCTTCCTTCCCTCCAGGAAGTCCAAAACTGACTCTCACTAATACAGGTATTTACTGACATGCATCTAACTGTAAATGCTCTCTCTCTGTTCAATGCACTTATAGAGTAGGTTTTTCCACTTATGTTACACTTGTATAGTAGCAATGATCTTTATAAAAAAATTGTTGTTTTTTTTATGTTTAAATGTGTTAAGTAGTACATTATTTCTGGATCTTCCTGCCTCTCTAACTTTCCTTCCTCCATCTGCCCACATTCATCCCAATATATAGCTGCTTGTGTACATTTCACAAATGCGCAGAAAGCACAATCAAAGGTTTGTGTTTTCCAGAAAACACAGCAGTGTCAGAAGCATAATAGGGGGATGCTTCATAGATTCCACATAATACTTTTAGTTCAACATCCCTTTAGTGCTCCAGCTGCATAACAGAACCTAATGTTGGGTTGACATGCTTAACATGTACTCACTTTGATCTAGACAAAAACTTTGCTATTTAATTATGCATTATTTTTCATGTATTAAATTACAGTTTTTCAAAGCCTTTTCTTAAATACTGTACTAATTCAGACAATTTTCCAAACAATTTTTAGGCCAATGAGTTGATAGACAATTTGGTAGCTTGCACCATGACATTCTTTACACAATGCTTTTATTTATTTTTTTATTAATTTTAATAAAGAATTTTATTTGTATTTATGCAAATACATATAAAATAAAATAGCCAAGTGAAATTTGACATCTTGATTATCCCGTAAATAATTTACATAAAAAGATAAAATATTTTACCTTTTTGGCATCCACTAGCATACGAAATACCTTAGTAAATCCTAGAAAATGATGCAGTATTCTAAAAATAAGTATTAGTAAATATAATTATAATTAACACTTATTAAAACAAATTTATGAATTAAAAATTTATTTCAATTATTTCATACAGGCAGATTGCTTCCTAGATCAATATATTTCATAAAATGCTTTTGTATGATATTAGCAACTATCTTCAGAATGTAATACCACATAAAATTATAAAAGCTTATTAAAGCACTTTCTCAATTGGATTTATACATAGAAAAATCTAAGAGAGTTTGAACTGATAAGATCAAAAAATGATATAATAGGTCCTTTAATGACCTGCTGACTAAATGCAAAAACAGATAAACTAGCATAGCTATGTAAAAATAATTAGCTATGAGTTTACCAACAATCCTCTAAGAGACTAGAAGAAAAAAAAGAAGAAGAATTAATTTTTCATTCTTTTAATGCAAACACACTACAAGCAGAAAGTGCATAACCAGTAAAACCTGTGTAAACTGAATATTTTTTCCAATTTGGCAGGTTTCCATTTGAATGGATGTTTTTTTAGCATTGTTTTGAAGAATTTTTTCCATTTAGACCAGTGATTCTCAAACTTTTTCGATCCACCGCCCCCTTTGTTCCATAAAGTTATACCCAACGCCCCCTAAACCATTTTTTCTTGTGTGAGAAAAGGATTGGAGATATTCTTAGGAAAACTTTTCTATGAATCTCACACTTTGTACCCTTACTTACTGTACATTGTTCTCATCATCTGGAAACCATTAAACGCAATGTTTCCTCTTATCAGCCCCAATTTTGCCTTTGGTCACCGTTCAATACCCTGCCTCTATCATAGATCTATTCATCGCGCCAGAAGGGGGCGTTATTGCTTACTTTGAGAAACGCTGAGCTAAAATAAAAGTCAATGTGTTAGAAATATTCAAGTTGTGACCTTCAATAAAAAATAAAAAATATATAAAATGTCAACATTTTATATATATTCCGTCGAATTTTTATATATAGAATTTGTCTGCCGTCGCCCCTCTATATTTCCTTAACGCCCCCCAATTCTCTTTGAGCCTTCTACTGCCCCCTGAAAGCCTCCAGCGCCCACAAGGGGGCGTTATCGCCCACTTTGAGAAACGCTGATTTAGACAGATTTCCATTTTATTCAGATTCTATTTTAGTAAGATTTTAGTACATTTAAAATGTCTAATTCAATAAATAACAAAATTTTTCAATGTTTTCTGCTCTATATTGTATATGTAGTCTTATATATCTGAATTGAATAGTTTATAAAATTTCTTTGACTCCAACCTGGATTTTGAACCTGGATGATTCAAGAACAGCAAGTTTGATACCTTTATTCCCTCATCTATTTCATAATGACCCAGTGTAATGGATTTTATAAAAATTTGTACATTTTGAAGAAACAATGATACATAACAGTTGTTACATTCACATTCAGACTAATATACTATTTATTCTAATATAAAATTATAATTGTTTTTAATAATTTTAAATAATTAAAAAGTAAAATAACATTTTAAGATAATAATTTAGTTTAACTTTAATTTCCCTCACTTATAATTACTTACATCATTAAAATTTCATTAACAATAAATACAAAAATATTTTCTATATGCATATTATAATTAACATAAAAATTATTGTTCTATAATTAATGAAGGCTTAATTTTTTAAAAATTAATTATATTCATTTCTTAAAAATTAAATAATTTTATGATTTTGGAAACAGTAAATTTTTAAATTCATGCATATGATATGAAATATTAAATCTTACTCATTATCATCTTGTTTGACTTGATTCTTCAATTCAGTTTTTTCTTCAGGAGTTATCTTTTTAACAATGATCTATTTTAAAGAAGTCAATAATTGAAAACTGTTTATTTTAAACAATAATTTTATTATTATATATAAATAATTATATATTTTTGATATATCTTATTTAGAAATTCAATAAAAGTATTTTCAAAATAAATGTTTCATCTTTTCTACAAATTCAGATAATATTAACTGACATTTAAAACAAAAATTTGTACAAAAAAAGTGAAGAGCTTGAGCAGTTTAAAGAATATAGATAATTTGCAATTTTTATCTGATAAAGTAATCTATATATATATGTATACATGTGTATGTGCATGTTGGCATCTATTTTGTTTAATATTTCAGTATGGGTTAAAGATTAAGAAACAAAATTTGGCATGGTAACTTGTACTTGTATATAAGGGGCAGTGATGCTATTAAATTTTGGTGGTTAAAGGTCGAGGAGAGAAAGGGTCATGTTATTTCTTGAGTGGAGTTGGACTTAATGAAAATTTTACTTGTTATTGGCATTTAGAATATTTTAAGAATTTACCGCTACCTTCAAAATTAGAGGCTTATTCTGGTCACTTATCTTTCATCTCTTCTTTCAAGGACGAATGCCATAAAAACGAGAGACAAAATTAATCTCTCAGAGACAGCGGTGATTCTGGTCACTTTTAATGATGTCATCTTCACTGATGATGTCACAATTCTACTAGGTTGATTATAGATGTTCAGGTTATCTGCGCAGACAACACGGTATAGAATTTTAACCAATGAAATTGTAAAATTTTCAAAAATGCAGAGTACATAATTATAGATCACGTGGCAAGGAAAGCATGTGTTCAAATAAAGCACATAATTTTGATGAAGTTATGTTTTTTGTTTTATAATGTTTTTACAGATTGTAATGTCAATTTGTCTCTTAAGAAATAAAAATTTTAATAACCTAAGTTAGAAAAGTGTGCATACTTAGATATTTTTCAAAATATTACCATCTAATTTATCCTTAACTATCTAAGTAAGATTAACATCATATTCAATAGTTCAGTAATTGATGCAAGATAATTAAAAAAAAACAAAAAAAATGGAATCAGTGGTGTTTCGAGTAGGCAGTGGAAAAAATCAGAAGCATTTTCTCTCTTGAAATATTCTTTCCCAAGATAGAGAACATTCTTTAATACGATTGTACAGTGCGAGTAGCATCCAGTCGTCCTTATTGGATGTAACGAAATCAAGACGAAAGACAACTATCTGCCCATCTCTGAGAGACAAGAGAATCTTTGAGAGAAAAAGTTCTCCAGAATCATGTTTGGAGAGACGCGATGATCTCTCGAGACATAAACAAACAATTAGCCAATCAGCAATCGGCTTGTGAGAGACAAAAGACGATGGCCAGAATATGGACCTAGGTCTTTTTTCTATTTTATAATAAGTAATAATATAAAAATTATTTTTAGTGAAATCTCATAACAGATGGTGCCATACATAATTTTAACTTTGTACTACTGTATCTTAGTGTTTCTTAAACACAAATATTTTTTCAGTGAAAAAGTTATGCAACTCATTGCTGGATTTTTTAAAACTTTTACAGGAATTGCATTTTTCACTTACCACTTTGAGTTATTTTTCTAATACACCTATTTATCTCATGTCCTGGTATTGTAAACATAGCAGACAAGGAGCATTACAGGCATACTCTATTGTGAAATAAATAAAATTAATGAATGATTTTTACCATTTTTATCTATATAATAGCATAAATTTATATAGATAAATAGCATTTTTATCTATATAAATAGCATAACATGGGATGTGGAGTATAGGTGTTTTTGTTTCTGAAACTGTTTTCACATAAAATAATTGTCAGAACAGCTCATAACTTGATTAGACAGGTGTGGCAGTTTGAAATGTGAATCTAACTTAGCCACTCATTTAAAGAAACATATTATTTTGTTGTATCATATAGTATTTCCTACTAAATTTCTATTGTTTGTTATATTCCTAATAAAGGACTTGAAATATACTAGCATAAAAAGTCTTTCATCCATTGCTGATTGATGACATCAATTAACATTCTGTAATAAAAATGATGACATACTTTTGGTTGTCTTTTCAGAATGTAAAATGATTCATAATAACACTGTAATTATACTTTTCATTCTGAGATCATTAATATAACCTGATTTTGATATCCATTGTGTTTTCAATTTGACTGTCATAAGATGAAGTGGGTATGAAAAAAGGAACAAGACAATTCAACCCTGACCAAATCCAAGATTGAACATAGTTTCTCTGAGAGTGCTAGGATAGTAACTTACAATCTCAAGCTATTCAACTTTTACTTTCCCAGCTGTTATATACAGTACTTAACATGGGAAAGTATTGGAATCTTGTCAAATTTGACCCAGCAGGTTTTTTCAAATCTTGACATTTTGAAACCCTTGAACAAAAAATAAAGATGAGGAAAATTTTGTGTGTTTGTGTATATATACAACAACAATCAAACCTGAATCTTTACACCAAATAAATCTAGAAATAAAGATCAAATGGAGGTCCAGATAGCCTAACTAGTAACAAATCTGCACAATAAGTAAAAGATGCAGGTTTGAATCCTGCTCCAAGTCAATCTTTTCTTTCAAAATATTTTAAATTATTAAATTTAATTTTAAACTTAATGTAATTATTAATATTACTACAACATGGTCCTAACTGCTTACCTTTAGCCAAAATTAGTTTGGATTGATTATTAACAGTAGCTAAGTTCTAGCCCAAAATCAATCCAGAATTAATGATAAAGTTTGGGATTTGTTGCATATAGAATTAAACCTGTTTTTTAAGCTTAGCCTAACTACTACATACAGACTACTCCAACTATTATGGTATTTTCATAGGTTGTCTGGCATGTTGGTTTATGTGGGGAGACCATGAAATCAGATATTTCCATATGGTAAAAACCAACATGCCAGTTTATCCCAGGGGAATGATAGCATGTCAGTTTAAGTAAGAATATACATCCGTCTCTAGAGAGCACATTAAAAAACAAATGAGCTTTTATTCTAAAATTGTGAAACTCAGCATTATATCAAAAACTACAATTATATGTTTAATTTCTTCATTCATTTTGTCTTCTTTCTAAAATGTAAAATACTCATAGAATTCTGAAAGTGCTTTTTTTTATGTTTATTTTCTTATAATTTGATTCAAAAATGCAAAAACAAACATATTAAATTTAAGAAGCTGGCTGTAAATTATCTCATCTTACACCTATTAAAATCTGCTTTGTGTAAAATTTCAGAGGAAGGTATTATTTTTAAAGTCAGGGTAGATTGTCAGTGTAGCCCACACTTGCTGCTGCTGCTGTTAATGTCAATAAGTCATTAATTATTTTATTGTCTTATAAACAAAAACTCTTCCTGATTTTAAGTCAGTCAAATTACAATTTTATTATTATTTTATTGTACTTGGAAGAATGTTTATTTTAACATTTAATTAACTAGTTTTGTTAATCTGCTTAATTTTATTTTTTACTTGCAGTTTAACTGGCATGTCAGTAACCCTGGGATTTCCAGCATGCTGATCACCATTTATATGTGGCATGCCAGTCATTCCACGAAAATACAGTATAATTTTTATATTGTCTATTCATTTGGAAATTGGTTTTAAATAGAAAAAATAAAATATGTGAAAGAAAATACACTTATATAGAAAACTAAGTCCAAAATTATAAATTAATCAAATGATAATACCATATTCATCAAACCATAATTTGGCTAATTAAATATGTAGATATAAAGTAATTTAGAGTAAAGACATTATTGTTTAAGTACCTGCCCAGTAGTTCCAGGTTTGAGCCCTGTTCCATATTGATCTTTTCTTTAAGAATATTATAAATTAATTAATTCAATTCTAATTATTAAATTTAATACATAACAGTGATTTAATCACTTACCTTCAATCCAAATTACTATATATCTACACAAGGTATAAGTAAAACAAGTACAAAGTTGGCAGACATAAAAACAAATAAAAAATGTATTTAATTAGCCTAGTTATAACCTGATGAATCCAGCATTATCATTTATTTGATTAAGAAAATAAACTTGTCTTACTAAGAAACATTGTTATTGTTTCTTCTGTTTAAATTTTTTATTGATATTATTATTTATTAATAATCTACATTAAAGTTTATTAAATACAGTAATACTCCGAACTTACGCGATAGGTGGGACCGAGCGATAACTGCGTAAGTCGAATTCGCGTAAGTTGGGGTATAATTTCCCAATTTGTGTAAAATACAAGTCAGATGTATGTAAGCTAATAAATGTTCTCGTTAATCTTATCTCGTCTTTTGATTCGTTTACGGTTACAAGAAATTACCACATAGAGTCTTTCGAGTCTCCGTAAATATAACAAACACAGAAATAAATTGTAGCTATGTGTCGATTCCACGCGATACTATTGTTCCACGTGATTCCACGTGATTCCACTATTGTTCGACTTACATGTTCGGACGAACATGTAAGTCGAACAATAGTGTGGGTGGAGTGAGTAATCGAGAGTTGCGTGGCGCTCAAACAAAAGACGAATCGACGAGATTTGAAAATCGCGTAACTCCGGGTTCGCATAAGTCGGGATAGCGTAAGTCGAGGTATTACTGTAATCAATTAATTAACTTACTGTGTTTTCATCTTTCACAATTGCTCTTATAGATTCAAATTTTTGATTAAGTTCATTTATACAAATAAAATCTTGTATTTCTGCAAGAAAAATTTTTATTAAATTACATTTAAAATATTAAAATGGATATATATCAAAACATGTAAATCCAATTTTTATTAAAATTAATTCCTAAGATTTATTATTTCTCAAAATTTAACCTTTTCTCTTCGCTAACACTTTTCAAAATCCATTTTTGTAGTGTGTTATGAATATTAATAACTTGTGATATCTTGCTTAAAAATTGGACTACAATCGATCTGTTGTTTGTTTTTTATTACAAACATATCACTCTTTATGATCATTAAATTTAATATATACTACAAATTTTAAATAATTTTTTTTTATGTTAAATTATCAAGAAAAAACATTGTTTAAAAGAAATTTTTTAAATTTTTAAAAGAAATTAAAAATTTTTTTTTTTAAAGAAATTTTTAAAATCTGATTAATTTGTAGCATTTATAAACATAGTGGATCTGTTTTCTTTCAAACAAAAACTGCATGTCTCTAGACCATAAGATTAAAAGTTGTTATTTATGCTTTATTTTTCTAAATAACTTATGATAAATAAATTTGAAAACGATTTAATTCCATTCTTTATTACAAAATAAATTTCTATTTAATTTGAAATTTCTCTATAATCCAATTTATAAATTATTCTATTTTTTTTAAAATAAACTCATTTTACCCTGTAAACATTACAAAGGCCTCTTTTCATGCCCATCATGGTTTTGGCAGATTCACAATGGAGCAACCAGATTGTGACTTGCTTGCTCCATTGTAAATCTGATGGATCAGGAAAATGGTCTGATATATCTAGTTCAAACAAGTCATAAAAATTTCTGAGAATTTAATCCAGACTCGAACTAAGGTCCCTCAGAATGACAGGATGACTATCACAGCTGAGAAGTGATATAAAAAACTGCTGACTTATTCTAACATCAACTCCTTCATTAAAACTCAATATATAATTGAGTAGAATTAAAAACTTGAACAACAGTATTTACATTTACAAAAAAATATCATGAAGTGACAAAAAATTATCTTTGTTTTCTTATCCATCATTTCAAACTACAATGTTTTTGAAGTTTCAATGACATTTTTATGTAAATCAATATATAATAATAGTAAATCTAGTAAAATGATAAATGGTACCATAAGGCATTTCATCATCAAAATATGAATCATCAGACTACTTTTTAGATTTATAACTTATATTTAAGTATAAGTTTATATTTAAGTTCATATCAAGGTTAGAGTCCTATATGGCAGGGGTGGCCAACCTGCGGCTCGCGAGCCACATGCGGCTCTTCGAAGGATTATTTGTGGCTCTCTATAAATGTACTGTACCCGAGTTCCCTTTTCATTTTTGTGTTATTATATTTTAAAAAATTATTATCGTCCGTATGTGTTTCAAATGTCTTTTAAATTACTAACAACAAATATGAAAGACTAAGTGCAACGTTGTAACAAATTTCATTTCCATTCAAGTTAAGAATGATATGACTCATCAAAAACTGCGCGAACGAACATAAACAGTGGTGTAATCGTCCGTTATCGACCGACTCCAGACCGATTTTGAATTTGTAAACTGTCATTGCAATGAACAGTTGACATTGTGCTCTGGAGGAAACAAGTTGTATCACTCTAAATTCTAAATAAATTAATTACGTAATTTATTTAGAATTTAGCATTAAAATAGCCCGATTAATTTACGGCATTCGGTTGGTGTCTTATTATATTGGATATCGGGTTTAGAGATGTTTATTTATGTATCACTCTTGCTACAGATATATTTTGTAATTGGAATTTTTTGCATACCTTTAATTGCGGCTCGCGAAAAATTTCAATTTTGAAAAATGGCTCGGACTATCAAGGAGCTTGGCCACCCCTGCTATATGGTATATTTTTATTAATTCCAACTCTGCTTGAAATTTCTATGCATTCAAAGCTAGAACTACTAAAAATAAGTAAGACAAAACCTTTCACACTTTGATTTAGTAAATATCTCTTCAATCCGAAAAAAAACTTTCCGGTAGACTATCTCACAGCCAATTCAGGTTATAAACTCCTTTTAGGACTCTTTATAGAGTTTATAACCTTTAAGGACTCTTTAAGGAGTTTAAAACCTGAATTGGCTGTGAGATAGTCTACTGGAAAGTTTTTTTCCAGATTGAAGAGACGTTTACTAAATCAACATATAAAACAGCTAAACCATCGGAAAATTCAAAACTTTCCCACTTTGTTTCTAGCAGTTTAATCACTAAATACAAATGTTTTCGACCGTTTTGAATGGCCTTCTCCAGGTACAATAAGGTCGGTTGGATCATCAGTTAGCAGATATTCAAATGACATCCTTTACTTACTGCTTGAAATTATTTTCATATACAACTCCACAATGTTGTTTACAGCTTTGACGACCATTTTTATAACCAACTATTTATACCAAACTATTAATGAAATAGTTTACGAACTTGATATATTTTATATGATAATAAGAAGATAAAAATAGCTTATTAAATCTTAATCAAAATAATTAAGTAATGGCAATTCTATGTTTCCTAAATGATAAATTTAAGTTTTAACTTTATTTGAATTATTAAAAGATACTTTTTAATACTATGCATTTAGGCCTATAGTATAACAAACCAAAACCATATTTATCTAGCCAACTATCAATGAATTTATTATTATACAAATATATATCTAATATTCTTCTATAAGTTCAAATAAAAATCAAGATATTCATTTGTATTTATAGAAATCTACTCCATCTTTATAGAGATGGAGAGAACAGCTTCAAAAATCTTTATAGAGATGGAGAGAACAGCTTCAAAAAGTGTTTAATCCAATAATCCAAGTTTAGCTTCTTTAAATACATGCTAATGTTTAGACTCTTAATTCCATAAAATTCATGTTGAATATAATTTGACTTGGATTATATTTATATTCATTGACATAGGGATTATCCATAAATTACATAATGTTAATTTTATATTTTTGAACTATCATCCCATCCCTGTCATGCTCATAATGCTGTTGCATATATCCACTCCCAAAACTGTGCAATGTGTAACCTCAATCAACTCCTTAATTGTACTAAGGAATAATACACAGTAAAAGATACTATGACACAACTACTTTTATAAACATCCCACCCACTTATAATGAATCATAGCAATTATCTGACATGCACCTACCCTATGCATCTAGGTAAATTTTTATCTCAGTATAAAAACTTTTAAAATGGAATTAATAAAGAATTATTCATGCAAAAATAATCCCTCATCAAACCGTGAACCGGTATTAAACAAGAGTAAAATTACATGCAAACGTTTTCGGATCCCTCCCTGGGTCCTTTCTCAAGCAACTTTTCTTCTTTAAAATCCGTTAGAACAAAGACCAGTAGAATGAACTTCTTCAAAACTGCGATATTCGAAAAACTACTTCTTCCGAACCACATTTCAAAAGTCGAAATTCAAAAATCAATTTGAATCACATGCATTCCAGTATTCCGTAATGTAATGCTTGTTTTTCTTAAAAGGTTTTTATGGATTTTTACGTTAACAAAAAAATAAATAAAAATAAAAATAAAAAATAAAATAGCATATCAGCGGGTATGATGTTTTAATACCCTATTTACTATACGTATTTATTAATGTGAATCCTCTTTCTGGAGTAGGGCCTGCCATGATAGGGACAGGGTAATCTCATCCCTCGAGTTAATAGGTGCAGAAGTGTTGTAAGCTTTGCAAATTTCCATTTGTTCCAACCATTTGAGGTGGTCTGTAAACGGTGTGGTAATGAGGAGTTTGGCGTTGTCGAAGTTTGCCGAAATCTCCGGGTCTGACGCATATATGGATAACGACGTAGAACCTCTTTTGTGGAGGATGTCCTGTCGGTGTTCAGTCCATCTGACACCAATAGCACGTTTAGTAGCGCCAATGTAGACCAGTTCCCTCTCAAATCTACGGTTTGTGAGGCGTATACCCCTGGTAGCTTATACTCGTTAGGTTTTGGGGTATACGCTGTCCCCCTCATGGACCATAGATTTGAGAGCGAACCAGTCTACATTGGCGTTACTAAACGTGCTATTGGTGTCAGATGGACTGAACACCGACAGGACATCCTCCACAAAAGAGGTTCTACGTCGTTATCCATGTATGCGTCAGACCCGGAGATTTCGGCAAACTTCGACAACGCCAAACTCCTCATTACTACACCGTTTACGGACCACCTCAAGTGGTTGGAACAAATGGAAATTTGCAAAGCATACAACACTTCTGCACCTATAACTCGAGGGATGAGATTACCCTGTCCCTACTCCAGAAAGAGGATTCACATTAATAAATACGTATAGTAAATAGGGTATTAAAACATCATACCCGCTGATATGCTATTTTATTTTTTATTTTTATTTTTATTTATTTTTTTGTTAACGTAAAAATCCATAAAAACCTTTTAAGAAAAACAAGCATTACATTACGGAATACTGGAATGCATGTGATTCAAATTGATTTTTGAATTTCGACTTTTGAAATGTGGTTCGGAAGAAGTAGTTTTTCGAATATCGCAGTTTTGAAGAAGTTCATTCTACTGGTCTTCGTTCTAACGGATTTTAAAGAAGAAAAGTTGCTTGAGAAAGGACCCAGGGAGGGATCCGAAAACGTTTGCATGTAATTTTACTCTTGTTTAATACCGGTTAAAGGTTTGATGAGGGATTATTTTTGTATTTTAATCCGGTATTTGAAGATTCTTTAATTATTCATGCCTAATGTCAGTCTACTTTTTTTAACTCCTAACCTGCAGGCACTGAGAGCTTTTTCATAAACATCATGGTTCAACTAGACCAAAATGAAGGTGGTTGGGATGATGAGGAACAGTCATTCAACCACCATTAGTAGACCAACATATCTAGATCAAATCATCCATTAAAATTTTGGAAAATCTAATCTGGACTCTGGACTCAAATGTGTCCTTCAGAATAGTAGGCTGATGCCTTTTATTGCCTCAGCCATCCAACTGTTAATATTTTTTTCTTAATATATGCATTAATTACAATAACATACACATAAATTAAAAATACAGTATTTATAATGAGTTTTAAATATAAATATATAGATACCTTTATGTTTTTTTAATTCAAATTCATCACCTTCTTCAGCTGTAGTTAACCAGGAAGAGATTGATGAGCACTGATCTTGCAAAGCATCTTCATTAATATTTCTAAGGAAATAGACAGACATTAATTAGTTATATCATTTTCAAAAGTAACTTCTAACAGAGGGCTGCCAGATGTCCCTTTTTTCTAGGACTGTCCCAGTTTTTGACATTGTTTTTTCTCATCTTGAAAATTTTTATCAGGATGGCCTATTGTCCCACGTTTTTTCTGCCTGCCATCTAGCAACAGGAATGAAACTTTTCCTTATTTTCTTACTCTTAGTTGTATTGTTATGTAAATTGTACTTTCACTTTTGCTTTTATTGATAATCCTTAATAAAGTTTTCCACTGAAAGTTGTGAAAGAAGAAAAAGTTAGTGTTGTAACAAAAAGCAGTGTTATTAGTAAAGGTTGTGAATACAGAATATTCTCTACTTCAATAACAAAAGACTCAACAAAGGTGCATGTGAGTGACAAAATTAATGAGACATTGAATATTGACAAGGGGCTCAACAATCACCCATTCTAAATGTCAAATCAAAACAGTGATTGGTTGCAGCAGTCACTGACATTCAATGTTGCCTTATATCTGCTACCTGTGTGCATCCATCCTTAAAGAATTTGATCAGAGTTAAATCTTAGCAATTTTCTTGTCATTATAGGAACAGTTTTTCAAACAAAATATGTTACTTTTTCCACATTTTAAATGTATTACTGTCACTGGCAGAGTAAAAATACACATCTATTACATGTCCCAGAATATCCCTATTAGAATAAACTTTTTATCATACAGGCGTTAATTACCAATGACTGTCGTCAGACCAACAATATTCCCTATTTTCATTGAGAAATGTCCTAGTATTTTTCAGAAAGAATTCATTTTGTCCTGAATTTTATCCCCAATTACCTAGCAACTCTATTCTAATACTAACATTCATATTCACATCTGTATGTATAAAATAATCTTCATTAGAAAAAAAAATATAGATATATATACAGTGGGTGATCAGTTAATGAACAGTTCGGACTGCAAACAAATCAGACAACGAACACTTTCACGAAAGATTATGTTCAAACAATAAACACATGTTCAGATTACGAACACCTGACAGAACAAACACAAGAAGTGACACTGCGCTTAGGATTTTTAAAACTGTATTTTAATGGCATCTATAAATAGTTTATGGAACGAGACTTTCACAGTTGTATACATAACCATTTTTGCACTAGTTAATTTCTGTTTTCTGAATTTTTGTAAGTGCTTTTCTGAACTTTTTATTTAAAAAACTGATAATATTATGGGGCCTAAAAAGAGAGGAGTGTCAAGAACTGTCTTCACTACAGAAACTAAGCAAGAGATAATAGCCAAGGTAGAAAGTGGACAGATGTCTGATATTGTAGGCAGAATAACTTCAACAGATCTACAGTAGATACAATCTTAGCTAAGAAAGATATAATCAAAAAAGACTCAAGCAGATAAAGGAGTAACAAAAAATCGCATCTGAGAAACAAAGATGTGCCATCCTTGAAAAATGGAGAGATTGCTTTTAGTTTGTTATTACATGTAAATAAACATACTAAGAAAGTATACATGTCCCCTCTTTGTCATCATGTTGCCCTTTTCTTAATCTCCAAAAGAGCTCTAAGGTTCCATTTTATTTTTAAATTAGTTACTCATTTTTATCACTTTTTTCTGATGACAAAATTAAAATAAAAACATTTATTATTAACTGAAAATTTGTTCTAGCGAGTTGTGATTGTTCGGTTGAGTGCCAAGGTTCCACTGTACCATATTTATCCTTCTGCTTCTATTTGATTATCACTGTATTTGATTAATGCATTTTTAATATAAGTGGTGGCATTGAGGAATTAATTAACTGTATTAATACAAGGATACCTGTATATATATCTATATACACTACTGGCAATTAAAATTGCTGCACGTAACAAACACAAAATTTGTATAAAAGATACATGCTGAGTGCTCTGTACCTTAAGATTACCTACCAATTTGATCCTTTCATTATACTGTATGTGTAAAATAAATGATTCTGTTCTTTGCTTTCCTTCATGGTATAGCAATTTTAATGGCCAGCAATGTATATAAATGAGGATGTTTGTTTGCTATACACTTGTTGCGGTCACGATCTACTTCTTGTTAAGCCGTAACAGTTGCGAGCTATTCCATGTATATATATTAGTCACGGACCACTTTTACTGCTTTACAGAAAGGGCCGGAGCAGTAGCATAGGAACATCTGAGAACCTAACTCACTTCTGGACTAGCTGCCTTAGCACCTGGCTGCATGTAGCTACGCTCCACGTTTCGTACGACTGCTTATACCCCAAGTAAAATTAAAATTGGAGTTAATCCTCTATTATCTCTGAATAAATGTTTTGTTTTTTTTAATATTGATGCATCGTGTCAATCAATTAATTATTATACTGGCCAGTTGGGAACAACCCAACACACTCCTAGGCTATTTGATCAACTGCTACAAAACTCAGCAGTTACAGTCACATACTTCTAACTTAGATCATGTCATACATCTCACCTCAAAATATCAAACTAATTTCTATCTATATAAGATTTGCAGTCTTTAAGTGTAGCACCATCTACTTGCAAAAAAATTTGAGATAATAATAAACTAAATATAATTCTTAAAATGGATATAATTTTAAAAAATATATATTAAATTCACTTAATTACTGCGACAATGATATAGCACAAAATAGACAAGTTATATCATTACTGCAACAGGTAGCATATAGCACTTGCCTGTGTGGAATTGAAAGTGTTACCCTGTGAAAGTCTATAAGTATTTAATTTTCCACATCTAACAACTCAAATTTTATCATTTATAAATGGTACCTCCTTAATTCTAGTAAATGTCCTCTAGTAGCAGAGCGGATAAACCACTGAACAGTGGTAGTTACTTAGTTTTGGGTTTGAGCATAGACAATGAGTTGGTAACATGGAATTTTCTGGGTTTTCTTCATGTTAGTAACACCTAAATAGGGTTTCCAGCTTCCCATAAAAGTCTTCCTGGGATATATCCCTCTCAGCAGATCGCTCGTGTCATGTTGCTGTAATGAAATAAACCAAACTAAGTCTAACAAGCGATTATTTATTGTGACATGTCACAATTTCAAGCTACAATTTTTGGTCACAATGTTCTCAATTTTTTTAGTGGCAATTTTGCCCCTGTACATTGCACTTTTCCTGTTAGCAATAGAGTTGTGCCAATTATCTATCTAACTCTTTCAGGAGAAAATTTCAAATTGAAGTAACGTGACTTCCAGTTCAAACTGAAGTTCATATATAACAGTGGCATGCTGTCCACAAAAGCTCTGGAAGCACCACTTCCATTTTCTAAAATATAAATACATATTGCACGATTAGTTTCATATTTTAATTTTAATTGATTCAAATTTAATTGTTAATATTTTATTATAACCACATTATGTATCTTATTACAAATTTCTATACTACATGTAAAAAACTGATAAGATTGCAATTGTATATTCGAATGTATATGCATATTCCCAATGGAAGCACCATATTGTCAAATACAGGACAGCTTCCACGGCCAAAATATGTAACTTGTGTAAAACAGCCAGATTATATGCATTCACACACGTGCTTTAAAGAGCACCAACCTCATGCGGTTTAGCTCATGGATGCTACACTCCAAAATATCGTATAATGCTTCCAATGATTCTATCCAAGGCCAGCACAACTTCTTTATCATAAAATGTCACAGCATACACTGGTATATAGTTAATATGGACTTCCTGCTCCTAAGCTTTCCATATCTTGTTCTATATAATTCCTTTCATGAGATTAAGGAAGATCAGACAGACAGATGACAGTGGGAATTTACAAGTCTACAATTTTTTTCAAATTGCAGCCCAATAATTTTTCTATAAATATGATATTTACGAGAACATACTTCCCATGCAGTTTATACAATCTGTTTCAAAAATATAACACTATTATCACGTAAAAGCAATTATTGTTGCATTTTTACAAGATTTTTTTTATTTAAACAAGTCATATGAAGTCTTTTGGATGCTAAGGTTAGCAAATTCAATCACATGCAGAGCCATCACAACCTAGCTAACACAAATCACTTTTCAAATATTATCAATAATAGTAGACCAGTATTAATTCATAGTCACTGACCATTCTCTCTTCTGGGAGGTCAATGACTACTTTTGGTTGAATTACTTCAACCTCCTTCCACAACAGTTCCTTCTTTCTATCAGACCAGTGGTATGGTGGCATTCAAATAGGAAAATTACATAATAATCAGGACGGTGGAGTCGGAATTGTGGAGTTTTGGTATTTTAGCCGGAGTCAGAGTCGTCAAAAAATTCACCGACTTCGACTCCCTTTTACTTACCAACTTGTTATGTATATGAAACAGAGTCGGAGTCGGATGGTAAGGAATAGTCGGAGTCGGAATCAGTAGATTTTTACGCGACTCCACAGCCCTGCCTGATAATAATACAAGGTTACTAGCCTGCATAAAATATGTCTTAAAGTGGTTTTTGAGGGTGGTGAGTTTAAATATTTGGTTCATTTTTTGTGAAATTTGATTCATTGGAAGATTATCATTTGATATTTGGTTGTAAATTGTACAGTTTCTTAGAATTAACATTAGGAAAAAATATGATTAAAAACTTTAAGATATATTTTCAATTGGTGTCTACTTGACCAATGAAATTGTATCATCTGAGCATTGTGATAAACATCACACTGATAGGCTAAAATAATCAAACTCTTTATGTGGTTTTTGGTTTAATGTTTGTTATATTATAGTATTTGATTTATATAACTACATAGGTTATCTTACATAAAGGTTTATCACACTGAATGACAATTTAACACATTTTTAAAATTCTAAGTTCCTCTACTGCACACAATTTAAAGAATTTTTAAAATGTGTTACATTGCTCACTTGGTATGACAAATCCTTACATAAGATAACCTTTGTAGTTACATAAATCATATACTATAATCATCAATTCAATATATATTATAAAAGTAAGTGCACAATGTGCATGCCGCTAAAACTCAAAAGAGTCCCAGTACAATCAAGGGAGTTATATGGTGTGGTAACCCTCTATCCCCCATCCATGAAAAAGGTTCCTGTTTTTACCTGAAGGGCGTGCTATTGAAGATATAAGGGCTGGAAGTTTCGCCCTCTAGAAATTTCTAGAACAGTCCAGAACATTCGAGAATATTCAAGACCATTCCACAACATTCCAGAATGTTCCGGGATGTTGAGGAATGTTCTGGAGCATTGTGGACCATTCAAAGCCTTTTTTTGTATGGGTGGGCCTAACCATTGGTGGGGTTATATAAAGCAAGATATGTCATGGGTTCAAACGTCAGTTTCTTATCAGTGACAAAGGGAAGAACCAAAAAAGAAGTGAAAATTCCAAAGTAGTGCAGTGAGTGAATAAAAACAAACAGTGAAGTCTGAGTAGTCAAAGTGATAGAGTGACTGAATATAAATCAAAAATAAAGTGTGAAACTGTGTAAAGTGTACTTAGTGTATTTGTTACTAAAAAGTTGATTTGATTTATATTTTATACAATGCCCAAACTTAAAAGAGGAGGAGCTCTTGCCAGTTCTGAAGCAAAACAGCAAAAACAAAAAGAACCCAAACAGTTTAGAAATTACAAAAGTTGCTTCTAGCCCTTGATATAATAATATCAATTAAATTAAATTATCCACAACCATGAGGCAGATAATAGTGAGGGCTTATCAGACCAAATGATGGGCACAAACGCTCAGAGCATTTGTGCCCATCATTTGGTCTGATACACACATATATATAGATTACGGAATACAATGGTACTTCTTACATCAAATGCTTCAGAGTTTGAACGTTAAATTTGATATATATATATATATATAAGGGTGTTTGTTTGCTGTGCACTCCTAGTCCATTCGAACAATTGCTCTGAAACTCGGCAGTTCAGTTAACATACTTCTCACTTAAATACAGTAATACCCCGAACTTACACGTTAGGTGGGACCAAGAGATAACCGCATAAGTCAGGGTATAATTTTGCATATAAATACATACAAATTATTTCTAATTGGAGCCAGAGACTAAAGAAAACATTAATTTAGAAAAAAATGTTTAATAAAATCTTAGATAATACATATGTATAACAAATTATATTATTAAAATCGTAAACTGAAGTTATTTTGATGTAGAAGGCTTCATAAAATCTAACAAATTCATCTGATGGCTCAAAGATTTTTTTTTCTCCCGCAAAATTTCCTCGTAGCAAGCTAATAATTTTTTTATTTCTTGTTTTGTAGAAGAAATGCGCTCTTCGTTGGAGTCTATATTTTCTAAAATTTGTAACCCCTTTTCAATTGAACTGAGGCCTTCTGTCAATTTTCCAACCATCATTTGATCTTCTGACTGAATTGGATCTAAAGAATCAAGTTCTTCAATGTCTTGCTCTTGCTCACGCATTTCTATGAGCTCATCAATTCTCAGCTCCTGATTGTGGGAATCCAGCAGCTCTCGAACATCATCACTATCCACTTCTAAATTTATTTGCCTGGCAAGATCGACAACTTCTTCAATCACATTACCAATTTCATCAGGCTCTGGAACTGATTCCGCCTGAGTTTCAGTGGTGAAAAAAAAGGGACACAGTTTTTTCCAGACGCCATTTAAAGTTTTTTGTGAAACTTCATTCCATGATTGTCTAATGATTCTCACTGCATCTAAAACATTGAATTGTTTCCAAAAGTCTTTAACAGAGAGCTCGTTGTTTTGTCTCATAGCTTCATGCAGATGTACAAACAATCGTCTTGTGTAATAAGCTTTGAATGTTTTGATGACTCCTTGATCCATTGGTTGAAGCAAGCTGGTTGTATTTGGTGGCAAAAATAGAACTTTCACACGTGGATCAAAATTAGTTAAAGTTGCAGGAGGGTGACCTGGTGCACTGTCGATTATTAGCATAACTTTAAATGAAATTTGTTTAGACTGGCAATAACGTTTGACTTCAGGTATGAAGTGATGACCTAACCAGTCCTCAAAAAGGGAAGCTGTCACCCAAGCTTTACGATTTGACTTCCAAATCACAGGCAAGCCAGCTTTAGATTTATTTTTCAATGCTCTTGGATTTTCCAAGTGATAAACTAAGAGAGGTTTTAACTTATAATCACCAGCTGCATTCGCGCCAACCATCACTGTCAATCGATCTTTGGCGGCCTTAAAACCTGGAAACGTTCTCTCTTCATGCGCGATAAAAGTTTTTTTAGGCATCTTCTTCCAGTACAGGCCAGTCTCACCTACGTTGAATATGGTTTGGCTGGTATAGCCACCTTCATCTATCATAGCTTTGAATTTCTCTGGATAGTAAGACACAGCCTCTTTACCAGCACTTGCCACCTCTCCACTTTCTGCAATGCTATGCCAATTACATCGACTTTTGAATCGGCTGAACCAACCGTTACTAGCTTTAAACTCATCATCTTTAGCCACCTCTCCAGCATCCTCTTTCAATCTCTCAAAAATCAGCTTAGCTTGAGAGCACACCATGTTCTGATCAAGAGGACAATTATTCACATTTACTTGATAATCACACCATAATTTTAACATTGTTTCCATCTCAGCGATAATACCGTGACGTTTACGAATGATGCTTGAATTTAAAGATTGAGCATTTTTCACAGCTTCGAGAATTTTTTCTTTACTTTTTATAATTGTTCTGACTGTCGATTCCGGTAGATCAAACTTCTTTGCCAATTCACAAATTTTCATTTTTGTATCGAAGTCTTTAATAATGTTAACTTTACATTCCAAAGTTAAAGTTTTTCTTTTCTTGTTTGATGCAAAAGAATAAGTTCTACTTCGTTTGGATGACATAGTAGAGTGTTAAGATTAATCACATTCGTTATTGTAAACCACACTTAAGTTAGGCGCCATGTGTTCATTTCTTTTGTACAGTATGTCCAACCATCAAAAGACTGCTTGAGATCGATTCTGTTTACAATTTGAAAGGTAACCTTGTCAGTTGTACATACAAGAGGTAAATTGTTTACAAAATGAGTCTTTGTTTATTATCTAATAAATGTATATTTTTTTCGTCAATTGTTCACGATTGCAGATGCCTTTTGTGTAAAATCCAAGTCAGATGTATGTAAGCTAATAAATGTTCTCGTTAATTTTATCTCGCCTTTTGGTTCGTTCACGGTTACAAGAAATCACCACACAAGGTCTCTCAAGTCTCTGTTGATATAACAAACACAGAAATAAATAACACAAAATAAATTGTAGCTGTGCATCGATTCCGCACAACACATCCGAACATGTAAGCTGAACAACAGTGTGGGAGGAGTAAATAATCAAGAATTGCGTGGCGCTCAAACAAAAGACAAATCGACGAGAGTTGAAAATCGCGTAAATCGGGGTATTACTGTACTGTAATGTCGTATATACCACCCCAAAATATTGAATTAATTTTATATATCAATAAATTCCTGTCTACGTCCGACTTCCGCCATCACATGTAGCGCCATCTCTAGGCTTTTCTAGCATATAATAAAAAAATAGTAATAATTTTTAAAAATAATACTGAATATAATTCATATAAAAATAAATATAACTAAAAAATATATATATTACATTCATTTAATTACTGCAACAATGACACAGAGTATATAAAGACGAAACTTCTGAACAACGGTAGCACCACAGGGCAAACACATGCATCGAATTGTGTATTATACTGTGAAGAACTATATCGAACAACTCAGGTATTTTCATTTCTGAATAGTTCTTTCGTAGTGCTGATTATTTTTCTTTGAAACTGGCTATTTACGATGACAGGCCTACTTCCCAAGAAGTTCATAGGCATTCTAATAATGATCTTAAAATGTGGGTTATCACGTACATCGTTTTCTCTCTCAATTTTCTTTTTAAAAGAGACATATATGATAATTCTACGTGTTTTGCAAATGACTATTTGGCGCCGACCCGTATAAAAACCGCTATAAACAAAACACCGTGGAGCTACTTACTGACTGTGCACCGATCGGGTCGCCATTGCTTAAGCTTGTTTCCGTCGTGGAGTATTACGTTGGATGGCGGACTCCGCTAAACGTGTTCGAACTGGAGTCACGTGTCATGTGTTGTACACATCCGCCGTCCACGTGATACTCCACGACGGAGACAAGCTTAATTAAGCAATGGCGACCCGATCGGTGCACAGTAAGTAGCCCGACGGTGGTTTGTTTATAGCCGTTTTTATACGGGTCGGCGCCAAATACTCATTTGCAAAACACGTAGAATTATCTATATGTCTCTTTTAAAAAGAAAAATTGAAAGAGAAAGCAAAGCTTTACTGCTTTTATAGTTCTAATTCTAATGAAAGTTATTGATAGAAATAACTACCGTTATAAACAAAACTTCCGTAAGTACCAATTAGAAAAAAATAAAATTTTAATTTGTATGGGTTTGGGTACAATTTTAAACACTGTTACAAGCAACATTAATTCTGGTTTTCAGTCAGATTTATAACAATGTTAATAGAAACATATTTGCCAACCATCAGTGGACATTTCCCATTCGTCAGTATTTTTAAAGAATTTGATATTATACATAAATACTTCACTTAACAAGTCTAATACCAACATGTGGTATATGCTGACACTAGCATAGTGAGGGAGGGCAAGGGGTCTATCATGCCCCGGGCACCACTCGCAGAGGAACGCCAAATGGACTCCAAGACAAACAAGATTTGTTTTTGAGAGAGTGCCAATAAAGTGTCGTGCCCCAGGTGCCAGTTATGTTCGCTACTCCACTGTATGCTGATGATATTGTATTTTTTTCATTATGAATGATGTTCTCAGATTCATTCACTTGGGAAAGAACAAAGATTGATATTTTTATATATTTTTATGTTGTTATACTAGTGACGTGCCATCCATGGAAGATATGGAAACACTGCTTCCCTTTTATTTACTAAAACATAAATGCATATTGTGCAAATATTTTTATATTTTAACATACTTTGAATTACTTAAAATTAATATTTCATTATCACCACATTATGTATCTTATTACAAGTTATCTATACAAGTGAAAAACAATGATAAGATTGCTATTGTATATTTGAATATAAATTCATATATACATATTCCCAATGAAAGTGCTGTATTGTCGAATAAGGGATAGCTTCCGTGGTGAAAACATTTGAATTGTGTAAAGCAGCCAGATTATACGCATTCATGCATGCGCTTTACAAAGCACTGACTTTGCACGGTTTACCTGGTGGATGCTACACATCAAAATATCTTATAACACTTCCAATGATTCTATCCAGGGCTGACATAGCTTCTTTATCATCAAATGTCACTGCATGCCACTGGTATATATATATAAGAATTTTAGCTCAAATATGATCATTTTAAATGGTGGATATATTAAATTGTATCTTCAAGTCTGGCAATGTTAGTGCCCTTAAATGTTAGTGGCAGTTAAATTGATTATGGCCAATCCATAAGAGTTGGCCATAATCAATTTAAGAGGGAAATGAGTTACTTTTATGGTTAGACCAAGTTATTGAGCAGTGCTACAGTTTCTCCACCCAAAGCAAAGAAACATCCAATTTGTTGCTTAAAAAATACAGACCATGTGATATGAACTTTCTCATGAAAAGAAACTAGATGGTTCTTTCAGATTTGAAATATTTTACAAACATTAGTAATCTTTATAAAATAACAAAATAGGCTGATGAGGGTTTTCCCACATGGCATTGCAGGGCTTCCCATGCATTGCGGTGTGGCAAATGAAAAAGATATATGATAAAAAAAGTAAGACAGAGATAGGAAATAAATCACAATCAGAAAATCATTCTCCATAAAAATTGCAGTGAAAGCCAATAAACTGACTGATAGCAACTGTCGTGAGTACACTGTAACACTAACAAAGCAAACCATAGCACAAACATATATGACAGGAGGCACTCATGCAAGATTGCTGACAGATCAAGATGTAACACATCATAAAACTACACCTAAATTTATGATGTGCCCCTTAAAATACTTGGTCTTTTCAAAATTATGATGTTAAAAAATATAAAGCTTTTGCCATACTCTTGACAGTGTTTATGCAGATAGCTTTATAAAATATCATATGCAGAGATAAATTAAATTTTGTTTATCAACAGTATTTAATTAATATATAAACCTTGTGCAATGTTAATAAAGAATTTTTCACTTTTTATGCTGTCAGTACTTTTATTCAAAAATCAGCATTTTTCTACCGACACTCCCATACTAATGGTTGGCAAGTATGGCAACATCTTTCAAAAACACTATTAAACATGAGTTTCAATGCACTATTTACTTTCTTACAGCTGATTATGCCACCCAAGAAACGCTTTCTTTATGGAAAAACTACTGCTGCTAAGAAAAGGCGAGCAGAAAGAGCAGCCGAAACAGAAGAGCAACGTATTCAAAGACTTCAAACACAAGCTGCAAGACAAGCTGCATATAGACAACGTGAAACTTTTGAACAACATCAAACCAGACTTGAAACAGAGGCTCAGAGACAAGCTGCATACAGACAACGTGAAACTTTTGAACAACGTCAAATCAGACTTGAAAAACAAGCTCAAAGACAAGCTAAACATAGACAACGAGAAACTTCTGAAGAACGTCAAATCAGACTTGAAAAACAAGCTGAATATAGACAACAACAAGCTGCTAAACAACTTCAAATTAGACTTCAAAGACAAGCTGAATATAGAAAACAAATTAGACTTCAAAGACAAGCTGAATATAGACAACAAATTAGACTTCAAAGACACGCTGATTATAGACAACAAAATACTTGTAAAGAATGTCAAACCAAATGTGAAATACAAGATGCAAGTAGACAACAAGAAACTTGTGAACAAGAACAAAGCAGTTTTCAAGCACGAAACTTAAAAACTTACAGACGACAAAAACCAGAAGACAGAGATGATACACAACTTCAGGCTCGAGGAAAAAGACGATTGCGATCGCGATGTCCAGATTGTGATGCTCCACAGTGGAATTTAAATGACTTTACGTATGATCCACAATATACTTATGTATCTGATAAAGTAGTTGCAGTCTATCTGCATTAATGCTTATTTTCAGATAGCCAACTATTTAAATTTTCCCACAAAGGAACATTTTCATCCTGTCTTAGGACAACTTCAGCTTAGTAATGAACAAAAGTTATTGTTCTATCTGATTAAAATATTTTTGATAGATCAAACAATATTTCAAATGATACATTTTTCACAATCTAATGATAATTCATACTATACCTTTTCATTCTAACTTGTTAAAATCAAACCTCAGGCATCATTTCCCAGTTTAGCCAAAAGCATTAATTTTCACACTTATATCATATTGCCTCTTTCATTCTCCTTCAAATTTTTCTATGTAGGATCCACTTACAGATCAGTGAATGTCAGGGTCAAAGAGCATTTCAAATCCATTACCCGATACCCAACAAATAGCACAATTTTATTGCAATGGACCCTAGAAAAAGAAGCAGAAGTATGTTAGAAAGAACCTGTAGTACTTAGAAGCTGGTACGACATTAAGAATGTAAGAATTCTGAAGCAATGTTTCATTTATGTCTTAAAAAAGCATCTAAACATCATTTAATGCACAGACTTAAAAAAACTGGACACCAGTGTTAAAAACAAGATATTGGGAGGATATAGTTAAACAATTGCAAGATGGAAGAATGAAGGAGGCTGTGTGATTATAAGTGTGAAAATTAATGCTTTTAGCTGAACTGGAAAATGATGTTAGCACTACACATACATGAGGTTTGATTTTAACAAATTAGAAATGAACTGCAATGAACTGACTGTATTCACTGCTAATCAAGAACATGACAAGCGAGACATTGTGTTTAAAACTCTAGACAATATTCTGCAATTTATTAATGAAACTCATAGATCATATTATGTTTTGCAATATTCTTTACTATCTCCGTTTGGAGAAGATGGATATCACTTTGGAATACCTCTCTCAGGTGTACATTTTAACAAAACAGTTTCCAGAGAGAAAAATTCCCAGCATGGACTTCCATGCTTACAAACTTATGGTTTGTAATAATTCATTAAATCATTTTATATTTGCTAGAAACCTTCTTCATTAATTTGCTGTTGACGTGTGTGCAAAAATAGAAGCAGAAAAATTGTTACATCAGAACTCATCAGAGAGATTTAAGATGTGATTCATATATACATCTAAGAGATGAAATCAACAATGATGTAGCTGGAAAAGAATATGGTCAATTTTTCATTCTTTTATCAAATTTTGTAGGCAGTCCATGTTACATGCATGAGAAAACACAAGATGCAATGCTATATATGTTCACATTTACAGTTGACCTGATCTATTTATTACATTTACATGCAATGAATATATGTTTGTCCAAGTACTAATTCAGAATGAATTACTACTTGGACAAACATACATTCATAGACATAATCTCACAGCCAGAGTTTTTTACTTAAAATTATTAAAATTGATAGATTTAATCACAAAATATAACATTTTTCACCTATAACATCCATATGTACACTATTGAATAGCAAAAAAGGGACTGCCTCATGCTCATATTTTGATTTGGCTGATTAACAAACTTCAAGTTGACCAAATTGATTATGTTATCTCAACTGAACTTTCAGACTCTAATGCAGACAAAGAATTCTTTGAAATAGTTCAAACTCAAATGGTGCATGGTCTGTGTTGTTTTCTAAACTTTAATTCACTATGTATGAAATACAATAAATGTATAAAACGTTACCCAAAACAATGAGTTATAGAAACACACCTCGATGACTTTCAGCATAGGAAGATGTATGAATAGGTCAAAAACATTTTTGACCTATTCATACATCTTCCTCAGTTAGAATCTACAGAAATGAAACAAACTAACAAATCTAATACAAAACTAGCATTTTAAAATTAAAAGAGAACAAATTACAAAGTTGAAAATTCTAAATTTAAACGAACACAATATAAAATTTAAATATAACAAGCAATTATTGCGACGACATCATAATGCTGGGCTGCAATTTTTAATTAATTTAACTTAAAATATATACTCTTGATTTTAATGGTGCCTTGCTCCTATTTATCATACTTTTCCTGTTAACAATAAACTCATGCCAATCATCTAGCTAATTCCATTCAGGGGAAGCTTTGCATTCAAATAACATGACTTCTGGTCAAACCAAAACTCATATCATTTCAATATGTATTGCACACTCAACAAAATACAAATTTCCAGTTTGCACTGGAAGTTTGTATATAGTTAATCACACTTCTTGCTCCTAAACATGCTATATCTGTTCTCAATTTTCATCTATATAACTCTGTTCTCAAGATTAAGGAAGGGCAGACAGACAAATGTCAGTGGGAGTTTACAGGTTTACAATTTTTGAAAATTGCAGCCCAAATATAAAACAATTTATAAAAAACATTCAAACAGGAGATAGTTATCCCTTATATCGCAGAAGAAAACCTGATGATGGAGGCTTTACAATGAGAATTGGACTTCATGAAATTGTCAATAAATGGATAGTTCCTTACTGCCTTCTGTTGACTAAAACATTTAATGATTACATAAAGATAGAATTTTGTAACTCTGTCAAGTCTATCAAATATATATGCAAATATGTTAACAAGGAATCAGATACAGCTATGCTTGCTCTACAACAACATAATATACATGAAGTCACTATCTATCAACAAGTGTCACTTCAATTTAGACACTTACAGTTCCATGTCAATTAACAAATTGCAGGACAAACATTGAAATTTGTTGTCCTACAATTACAAGAATGTTTTTCTCTTGATGAACTGTATATAGAATGCTCTAGGATAGGAACTGCTAACAATCTTTATGCATACTCTCAGAAAACACACAATGTTGTATATAAAGAAATATTATAAATTTTATTTTCAAATTCACCTTTCTTTGATACATGTTTTCTTTATTTCTTGCATCAGACAATTTTGTTACTTACTGAATAATTTCCTACGGGAAAAAGTATTAATCTACGCATTTCAAATCTAAACATTGTTTCCTGTCCCTAAGTGAAAAGAATATCTGTTCAATATAGAGCAAAATAAGGTACTTCTAACTTGCACTATATACTAAATGACACCCGAAAATATTAAATTAAACAGTTCTTACACTGATGTAGGTAGCTACATCAGTGTAAGAACTGTGACAATCACATTGTTGTAAAAAATGTGATGTAAAATGTTTCCGTTTGCATGGTCTAAAAACAGTACACAGTTCCTTTACAACATAACAACAGAGTCGAACATTAATTTCTCAAATAAGCAAGTGACATTCTGGCAGTCCACAAGCGAGCAGCGCTCAGGCACCCGACAATTATTTTATAATCACAACACTGGTTCTTGACCAGCCACACAGCTATACACTCTGGTCAGCACTGACTCAACACACCAAAAGGAAGCGCACAATTTCTCCCTCTCTAGGTGGGACAATCTCACTCCGCATTCTTAGGGATACGATTATATCAACCCACCTGACACGTGTGACCATTCTGTGGACTATACATCAATGCTTGATAACATACACACACCTGACACGGGTTACAATTTTGTTTAATTGTATATCGGACTTAACACACACAAAATTACCTGCTTCTTCATATCCCTTCAACACTTAGGTTTTCTTAACTATTAACTTACAATATACATTGAAATGTATATTGTATGTATAGACATATGCTTCAAGTACCAAAAAATAAAACTAGAAACATGAATTGTGCTACACAAAAATGCAATAAAATGAAAAATATCAAGTTTTTTAAATAAGAACTATCATAAAAGTAGCACCATTCTTATAACTAAAAATACACAAAGGGTAATTAACATCAGCAATATAATTTGTCACCAGAAAAACATCATTACATTTTCAAATTATACTGTGAAATGTATTTTTTTTTTGTTGTTAAAGTCATTACATGTAAGGACAGATATTTTTCTTTTCGAATATTATTTTAGTAATCACTAAAAAACAAATTATTTTCAGTTAAAACCAAGTAAAAAATATACTCTATCTACTTCTGACTTCGAGGATTTTACAGGTCAACAAAGGCAAACAAGTGACAAGAAATAAATTAAACTTTCATATTACCAGTGACTTTATAATTGACAAACTCCAAATGCATTTCGCCTTTCCAGTAGTCCTCCTCAGTGGATATACATCAAGACAGCAATCTTTAGTCATTTTTTATATCCAGCAACCTTTCCCAGCATGCATCGACACTCATCCCGGTTTTTAAATTAAGTACATTTGTATATGCAGTGATGCAAAAATGTTCGACAATTTTCCTTTCTAAACAATTTTCTATTTTATACAATATTTTAGTATTTTTTCTATTTATATTACAATCAAATTCTCTACAATGCAAAAACCATGCCAATTCCATTCTCCCCAATCTGATGGCCGCCTCATGTTCCTTTATTCTCAACTCCAACCTTCTTCCGGTTTCTCTGATGTAATAATTTGGATATCGACATGTACAGTACATGACATTCTGTATACAACACCGGCAATCTTGAATTGATTCCTGGCTGAATTTATATCTTCACTATTTATAATGCTGATTAAGTTTGACATCTTATTTTTTTTTGGTAAACGGTAATTATTTCTAGCCACTACTTTCTCCCATCATTCTGGCAGCATTTGAATTCCACGTTGGAAAAATGACACATCTTTTGAGGCTATCCAAGAATCAACCCATTTTTTGGCATCTTCATAAGAATGGAAGTGCTGCTCAGCCAGGCCATGTGCCATCGATCAGAACAAGTGATAATTGGAAGTGGCAATGTCTAATGAATACGGCGGGTGGGGTAGGACTTCCCATTTAAGTGTTTCCAAGTACATTTTCACCGGTTGTGCAACATGTGGCCGAGCATTGTCATGTTGCAAAATCACTTTGTCATGTCTCTGCTCATATAGCAGCTGTTTTTCCTTCAATGCTTGGCTCAAACACATGAATTGTATTCGATAGCGATCACCCATGATGATTTTGTTTGGTTTGAGCAGCTCATAATAAACTACACCTAGCTGATCCCACCAAATGCAGAGCAGAAGCTTTGAACCATGGATATTCGGCTTTGCTGACGATGTTAATGCATGGCTAGGATTACCCCACAATTTTCTACGCTTAAGGTTATCGTAGTGTATCCATTTTTCATCGCCCGTCACGATATGATGCTGAAAACCTTTCCTTTTCTGCCATTTAAGCAGCTGTTCACACGTGAAAAGACGCTGTTTGAGGTCTCTCAGCTTCAACTCATATGGCACCCAATGTCCTTGCTTTTGAATCATTCCTAATCCTTTTAAATGTTTCGAAACTGTTGTGTGATCAACTCATAATGATTCTGCAAGTTCAACTAGCGTCTGACATGAATCTTCATGAAGTAACACCTTCAATTCCTCAGCTTCAAACTTTTTTGGTGTGCCTGATAATGATTTTGATGTTGAAGATAAACTTCAACATCAAAATCATTATTTTTGAAGCGTCTAAACCAATCTCTCATGTTGTTTCCGACAGAGCATGGTCACCATAAGTCTCAACAAGAATTCTATGTGCTTCAGCTGCAGATTTTTTTTTAATAAAATAATGCAATAAAATTCCCCGCAAATACTCTTTTTCTGGCATGAAACTCGACATGTTTAACACAATGAAAAAATAAGTTGTTTACACTTCGACGAAATGACATATACTGAATTTCAAGGTTGCTTATTGTACTTCCTTACAGATGCGTCACCATCTAAAAATACACACATGGTTCTGGTAATGCCATCTGTTGGAAAGCACAGGGAACTTATTCAAGGTCCCTATATAATATAATATAAGGGTTAAAAGTATGAAGTAATCTAATAATCTGAATCTTTGTTTTTGCATGAGCAATGCTGGACTCATCTGCTAGTGTATATACATACATACATACACACCATATTTACTCGCATATTCATATTTCAATGCTTCAAAAAACCTAGGTCATTCTATATGCACGAGTGAAGGATTCTTTGCGTTTTTACAATAATTTTTGTGAACCATGTATAGTTCATGCTGCCATTATAGCAGTGTGCTATCAAGGTCAAGGTGAATGTCACTTTCAAAGAAATGGTCTGAAAATAGCTGGTCACTTAGCAATCATTATAAATTTAGTTATTTCATGTTTGTTAAATTGGTATTTTTAATGAATATTTCCACATTCTGAATCATTAAAAATAAACCTTTTCCGGTCTTGCACTTCTATAATCTTTTGGTTTTGCTACATGGGTATCAGGTGTGTGGAAAAGCATTCCTCATGAGCTAATAGAAAAGTCATTCAGGAAATACTGCATTTGAAATTCACTTGACAGATCAGAGGATGATGCTTTGTGGAGTGAGTGAAAAAGAGAAGAGTTATAATGAAGCTTTGGAGGGCAAGTCCGCGTAGACCAAGATGATAGCATCAAGAAAACATGGTTGTTTGCCTTAATACATGCATTTGTTATTTTATTTGTGATTAAATGAAATAAAATTAAAATTGTATTAATAAATCTAATTTTCTTTATTTTGATCTTTAAAGTCACACCTCATCCTCTATNCACTTCTATAATCTTTTGGTTTTGCTACATGGGTATCAGGTGTGTGGAAAAGCATTCCTCATGAGCTAATAGAAAAGTCATTC